TACATGTCCAACAGGGAAGCCTTCCCCTCCTTTGTACAATTACAGTTCTTGAAGGGCAATCCAAAGCATGCGCGTTGCACATCTCCTTTTTTTGAAGTGTGTGCCTTGTTCCGAAAGGGGAATCTGGTGGTCTTGCTTCAAAACTGTAGCTGCAAATTTGGCAACAGGATGGTGGGGAATAACAACCAATAAGTGCAATGCAGGTGTGGGTCCCGATCCCTGACATCTGATTTACTCTGCCTTAAAATGACATCTGAAAGCCTACAACCTGCATTAGTGGCATGAGATTTCTATGCCACTGCCGGTAGGCTTGTTTGATTCTACTACATTATAGATTCTGTGGCTTTCCCAGGTAGTCATTTGGTGGGGAGTCCGAGTTTTCCACTTCCCCCTGAGTGAGAACCATTTCCTAGCTACAATTCCTTCTCTTCCTCTGCTTCCGCCTGTTTGGACTTGACAAGTATTGGATTAGAGGAAAAACAACCATCAGGCAGCTCCCCCCCAAGTATTTTTGTGTGTTCATATAGAAAAGAAGAACGAGGAAAATATTGGGCCACCCTCTCAATGTCTGAATGCCTGGCATACAAATATGAGTTTCTAGTAGATATTATTTGTTCCCCTTTTATTAAGGCTATTGTCTGTCTAATCTTTTTGTCCTTCTTTGCGACATTAACTCAGTTTTACAAGAATGGTGGTAAAACCATGGTTAGTTGGTTAGTTTTGAAATATCAGTGCCAAAATATATCTACAGGAGTTGCTGGACCGCAGAAACTGACACTGGCTTGCGAAAGACGAGGAGCCGCCAAAGAAAAGAAGAGAAAGAAACCTTAATTTAGCATTGATTCTTTGTTGGGTTCAAAATGGGAGTCTGAAAGGCCAATCATGTGGGAGGCCCCAAAGGACCGACCGACCCACCCACCCACACACATACACACACACACACACCCCTCTGGGATTTTCAGGATGTGGTCCTGCAAAACACCCCTTCCATCATACCTGACAGAGGGGTTGCTAGATGAACAAGTCTTTGTTGACACCTGAAGGAAGATGAACAATGTAACTTTGTGTAAACCGCAATCCTGATTGTGACTCTTTGGGTACACAGATCACTTCCTCCAATTCCTGGTCTTCAATAATGGTTTTACCTTCCTCTAATGTTTCATCACCTAACATAATGGTAGAACTGCAGACATTGGAAGGAACTCCAGGGGTCATCTGACCTAATGTCCCTCCAATGCCGGCATACAAGCTGGTCCCTCACCTGACTGATCCCAGGGAACACTTGAAATCTCCACAGATCTCCGATTGGACAGACTCTCCTCTTCTTCTGCCTTTACAACAATGTCTACAAACCCTGATTTGAGGGAACGAGGCAAGAAAAGGTAGTCAGCCAAGGATGCAATATTCCAGAATTAATTGACTGCAAGCATCATACAATCAGAGAATCACAGAACCATAAAATTACAGAGTTGGGAGAGACCCAAAGATCAACTGGCTCAGCAGCTTCCCGATGCAGTTCTACAAAGAGCTCCCTCACCTGTCCGGTTGTCACCAGGGCTTGTGCTTTCTTCAGATCCTTGGTTGTAAATCCTCTCTTCTTCCTCTGACTTTACGAAAAGGTTAGGAATCCCTGAATTGAAGGGAAAAGGCGAAAAGACGTGGTCAGCAACAACAAGATGCTTCATAACTGAATAGAAAAAAACTATAGATTGACAGAAAGGGAGT